CGCTCTGCCCCGCCGCTCAGTGACTCAGTCAACGCTCGGCCGCACCCGCCTTCATTTCTCTCTGTCCAGGTGGGGCGGGGATGGAGAGATAGCGGGCCGCCTGGAGAACCTGCAGGAACACTTCGGCCGAGTTCTAAAAATAAGAAAAAAATAAAAAATAATGCACCATATGTGTGGCTGATTCGCTTCCGTTCTTAATAGGCGTCGTTCCCATACCGTTTAGGGTACAAATATTATGGATCCCGAAATGAAATGAATCATCCAGAAAGTTTGTCAGGTTTTTGTAAGATTCTTTTAGGAAGCTACTTTAGAGAGCTCGGCGCCTGCGAGACTCAAGGTAGGCCACCCCACATCACAGGCGTGCACTGAAGGCAGTAAGTTGCCTACCTATCAGGCGCTCCGAGAGCTTGCACCGGCTGCACTTTTTGGTAGGTTCGTAAACGGCGAGTGAGTGTCGCACGTACTTTTTCGACGATCCCAAATTTTACGGACTACTGAGGTCCATAGCGACCTCTTGCCATTGTAACGGGTGGACTCATGAACTTACAATACGATTTTCTTCTAAGGAACATATCGGCCTGATATTGGGGTGTATTTAAATTGTCCGACCTCTTTTTCTCCGACCTGGCGATTTTTCCAAAATCCCCAAAAGTGCTGTCCGACCTAGGTTTTGTTCGACCTAATTTTTTCCGACCTCATCGATATGCTGAAATTTTGGAAAATGTGGCTCCTACAGTTATACTTTACCGCACGTTTGGTTTTTCTACCCCAGGGGGCCGTAGCGCCTAACGGGCATTGCAGGTAGGCAACACGCACGCCTGCGTGCGGTACAGCATAACCACGACCTCCCGACGACGGCCAGGTTACACACTCTTTTCGCGACCCGCTGTAGCCTTTATCCTTTTCGATATCGGATTTTTCGTTTGCTCTTTTTTCTTCTTTTTTCTCGTTCTTTATATTTCATTGTCAGGTCTGCCGTCTGCCGCCCGCCCCTGCGGGCTTGAGCTCTCAAGTACATTGTCGCAGCCGGGAGCCCCCACCTTCAAGGTGCATTACGAGGTTTCCTTCCAAAGTGGCCTGCTCGGCCGTCGCCGCGCCTACACTGCCAAAAAAGGGGGTGGG